TTTATTAAATAATTACACATTTTTCTCCCATATAAAACTAAAGTTAATTCATTAAATTTAATGAATGAATTTAATATTTGAAAATACTGTATTAACTTCAAGAGTCATCCACTACAAGCTTTAAAAAAATGTTTTTGAACTTCCAATGGATGAATAAAAAGTATTTTATCAACCATAGAAAATTTGAACAAGATATTGGTAGAGTGTGAACTAATAGTAGAAATTGAAAGAAAAAAAATTGGAAATATTTCAACTTTTTAATTGAGTCATTATTTGTCACAAAGCTGTTCTAGTTTAAAATTTATATTTTTACCCCTAAGAAATTTAGCTTGGAAGTCTGGACTCTTTCTGAATCTTTGTTATATTTCGTTCAAATCTGGACACAATGTTCACAATTTTATTCAAATTGGAAATAAAAACGCAGCCAAAAACGTTGGTATCTTCAATTAAGCAAACTCGTCGTCTTGTAAGGGTCCGATTGATCGAAGAAAAACACCCCCCCCCTTTAATTTTATTAAAAATTAAATCGTCAACTCAAAATTGAATCGGTTGTTCAACGACAGTTATAAAAAATAGTTTGTTGTAGCTTGTTCTATTAACAGTGATGCTGCATTACAAATAGTCATCTTTTGTCATTCGAATCGGACATAAGAACGTTCTGATATTTAATTATAAAAAATGGTCGCCTAGAAAAGTACCGATTTTTCGATGAAAAATACTCCTTTTACCTTCATTTAAAATTAGACAATAGTTGTTGTAATTTGATCTTTCTATAGTTAAGTTGCGTTAGAAATAACCATAGTCAGCGCAATAGATGATGAGTTATTACTAGAGCCCGGATTTTGATGACCTAAAAAATCTCAATTAATGCCCTTAAAAGTGCAAAAAATGCCCTTAAAATGCGAAAATTGCGCTAAAAATGCCTTATGACAAGTCTTAAATAGAAGTAAAAATATTGAACTAAAACAATGTTTTACTCTTTAAAATTATTATGAGTCGTTTCAAAAAATATAAAGCAATGCAGTACTTGCTCTACGTTCATTAAAGTTTGACAAATATGTTTTATATCCAAAAATAACAAAAAAAAGGAAAATATATTGACTCCAAAACATTTTCATTTTGTATGAAAACTTAAATGAATATAACAACTTCCATCTCATAATATTACTAAATATCAGAATTACGTTGGACACTGACTTTACACGAGGANTTTGAAATGTAAACGAGCGTCTCTTGTCTGAAAGCAAATTTTTATACCAGGAGAAGCTTCTTTCAACGTCTACTGATGTTATTGGTGCGTACTTGAAAAGGACGGTCACACTTACTGACAATTCTTCTTCAATTTGAAAAGATGTTGCTTCACCTGTTAATATCCTAGAAATTTTCTTCATTGTCTGGAAGCCAGTGTAATAATAAAAAATTATAAAAAATAATAAAAATGAGAAAAATTTAACAAAAAATTTAAAAAATGCTTTAAAATGCAAAATACGCCCCAAAATTTTAAAGAAAATGCCCTTTAAATCTCAAAAAATGCTCTAAAGGACAAAGAATGTCCAAAAATGCAAATGTCATCAAAATCCGGGCCTTAGTTATTACATTGTGCAATAGATAGCTAGAAATTTAATTGTACTCTATTGGAACAGTTTTTTCCCCTTAGTTAAAAATTACTAAACATTTAAATAAAAATAATTCTACACCAGAAAAAAAGCTAAGAATAAAACAAAAATAATATAACTTGCGAGAAAAGCTTTAAGGAACATGACTTTGTAAAGAAGAATACAAAATTACCACCATTTTCACGTGTGTGAATGACAAGAAAGTTTAAATCATAACGAAAATTGGTGCGATGCAATGAAACAACTTAAAGACTTATTAATAATTTAAAAACAAGTTAAAACAAATAGATTTTTTTTCCCTTTGCGACAGCCTCTAACAGATGTGATCCTCAACCCTCCCTTCTGCACAATTTAATTAAAGAAAATTAATTCTTTGTGTAAATTAGATTAACTCAATAAGAGATTAGAAAATCCACACCAGTAGGTAATCGAACAGAGCTATCGAAAATGAATAATTCATAACCGTCAGAACTGATGTTCTCGCATTCGAAACCGTTAACCACTTCCCGAATACCAATTCTCTCTTCTAGCTATCTATTGCATAATGCAATAAACCCGTCGTCTATTGCGCTGCTGACTATGGTTATTTGTAATGCAGCGTCACTATTAACAGAACATTAACGGGTGCTTTAAGGGTCGTGTTTTATATCATTACCTGCTTCCTTTTCTATTTGACTTGCTCTTATTATACAGTACCAAACTTTTGTTCTATAACCCTCAGGGTCAGCCATTTTTTTTTCTTCTTCTTCTTTCCATTCTGCAACAGAGCAAACGTTTGTTAAGCAATATTTAATTCCCCAATGAATGTTACTATTAATATTACTTTATTCGAACTTTTATAGCCTTCGGCAACCCTCGGCAAGAACGTGATTCATTTTTCTTCTTGCCCATTCTGGGAGTAGCATGTCAATTCATTCCATTTTGGAACAATGCTTCATTAAATTATCCTTCGCAGGAGATGAATGATTTTATAATAAAGGATATTAATTTCTTTTCCCATTTTTACGACTTCGTTTTATGGCGGAATAATAAAGTCAAATAAATGGTTGACCAAGTCGACGAAGAGGGCATTTCGGATTGACAATTGTGTAGGGCGCAGTTTTAGGGTTTGATTACATTCATTCGAAAATAGTCGAAATATCGGTAATTAGAAAAGGGGGTCGGACATTCGGTTTTTTGATATTTCTTAACGACGAGGTTATGGCTTGAAAATACGAGATGTGGTGCAGTAATTGCTTTTTAATGAGGAATAAGTGAAGGAAAAAGAATTATAGCCTTGCTATTTATTGCGCCGGCAATCAGTGGAAATTTTAAGAGTGAGTCTGAATCGCTTTGCTTCAGTGCCGATGAGTTAAAAATAATTTCACCCGTAAAAATTACTAATTGGCGAGACATTCAATTGATTCATGTGTTATAATCACAATAATCTAAAAAAAATTATTTTCCAGTACAAGACGCTTCTAAACCAATAGAATTTAAAAGTAAATATCTATACATCATAAGCAAGACAGTCCCTGGCCAAATTATTAGAAGCACTAGAAGGTTCTATATAAAATCTTAATTATCAATCCAAAATCCGATATAGTTCAGATTTTACGTCCATCAATCTTCAACTCCGCTTATCGTAAAAATGAAATAAAATAAGATCTAAAAAGGTTAAGTGAACTAATTAAAATCAGGAGCCTGGTTTATTTGCTAATAAGGAACTCACTCCCCAGTGATTTGAACCAGATTCGTACTCTTCTTTTCGCTCACGCCAAACACAGACCAAACGTAAAATATCCTCTGTGACTATCGGACATTTTGTTTGAATCTCTTTGCTGTTGGGCTGACCTTGGGAGGGTTTCATGGCACCATCGAACGCAAATGAGGTTTAGTTTCATTGAAAAAAAATCGCAGTGAAGGTAATTTTATCCCAATAATTGTTCCAGAAGTGTTCCAATCGTTTCAGTTAAGTTCAAAATTGCATGGCTTTGGAGTCAAACATTGATATTCTCAAATCCAATATAATTCGGCTATTCAACGTTGATTTTATAATTTAAAAAAAAATTATTAGAGCAATGAAAAGTCGTAGAATAAGAATGTATTTCAAACGCCATCTTGTAAGATTAACGTGTTGGTTAAAAATGTATTCGTGTCAACGTGAATCCCTTACTTATTTCTTTGGCTGTATTTGGGGTTCTTTTATAGTTTTGCAAAATGTGTAAATTCATTCTAATTTTTCAGATCGAAGGTGCATATTATTTCAGATTGAATTTCCATCTTCCGCCATTTATCGGAATTTTTTCAATCTGCTGGGTCTCGACATACCACCATTTTAAGCAGCTTCTACCCTATTTTAATTTTCTCGGTTACAGCGCCATATCTGATGCGAAATGCAAACATGTAAATCAAGTAGGGTTGCTTTTTTTCTGAAGAATCCGAATCTGCAAAAAATAAGGAACCCTATTTGAACTTTCAAAGTTGCCCCCTTACATCACCCAGGGAGTAAGGCTGGAAGATCTAGTTGGAATAGCTTTTAAATATTGAACGTGTTTATCTCCCTATTTCGATCCAATCCTCTTGTTTTAAGTTTTCATTTTTTTACTGTAGTAATCTAGTTTTAAGAATTTTAGAATTAAATTCAAATAAAAGATGTAACTTAGTGTCAAGCAAATTTACTTCTTAATTTTAAAAAAATTAAATACCTTTTAGCAAAATTTTTTTTCTCAAATTTCACTTTTATTTCAAATTTGAAATTATTTCACGCTTTAGATACCTTTTCTGTAGTTTTATTTTTATTTATTTATTTTTAAAATTGATTATATTAAAATTGATGTGATTTTAGAATTTTACGTAAGCAGTTTTCATACCTCTCATTATCGACCGAAAAAAAGAAAGAAAATCTCAAAATCCTACCCCCTTTAAGTGTTTTCGCTATATTTAAAGGCCCCTAAAATTCAAGAAAGTTAACTAAAAAAATAAGAGTTCTTCGATTTTTTTACGTTAGTATATGAAGAGAGTCACAATTTCTTTCTTTTTTCCTTTTTTTTCTTTCTAATTATGGGGTACGCAGAAGTTCAAAAAAAAAAACTATTGACACAATATTTGAACCACCCCCTAGTAATTAAAACAAGCAGATATATGTTTCATTATTACCATAATACTAAAAATGAAAGTTTTACAAAGCATAGTAATGAGGCTGAAACAAAAACAAAAAATTCTTTTCTTAACAGCGGAAAACAATAACTTGAAAACGTGATATTATAAATGATATAACTAGAAATCGAAATAAAAATCATAATATCCTAGAGAGGCGAAAATCAGTAAAGAAAATAAGGAATCACGTACGAAACATCAAATGCTTTATTCAATAAAATATTTTGCATTTTTCTTTATTCTACTATTTAATATGAAAAAGAAATAAAAAAGGAAGATATTCGAAGAATAGGCAAGATAAAATGCATTCGTGCGTGATGCATATGTGCGCAGTATTTCAATTCTGAACATAATGTGAAAGAAATCAATACTTAGACGTCCAATGAAATACAAGTATATTTAAATAAAGAGGCGTGGTTTTTTTTAGATATTTAAATGCCAGTTTTTAATTGTCTTCTATTTTGTTTGGTGTTTTGATGTGAAACAACAATTTGGGGGAAAATATCGCCAACTTCTAAATCCAAGTTCTTTTCATTCTTTCACTATTGCTGTCCTCCGCTCTTGATGAAGAACAGAACGCTTTTCCCACTATAAAACTTGTATTTTCCAGCGCCCTCTGGTGTAGAATACTTGCAATACTTCTGCCGAAAAAAAAAAATTATTAAATGATATATTTTTGATGATTGGAAAATAATAAAAGAAAAAAGAAGAAAAAGAAAAGAAATTAGTAGAAAAGTAGTTTTTTAATTGAGGTATAAAATTAGTTTGGTTGTTGTCAGGCAGTTGATTATGGTACACAACAGCAATTAACAGTAACTTTTTATAGTTATGAAAGAAGTAAAAAAAATTTTTTTTTAAAAAAGTCATAGCTTAATGTTATGTATAAAATTATTAATTATATCAAAAAATAATTTATCTGAAAAAATTACTTTTAATTATTGAATACCAAATTAACAGGAAAATTATTAGGGATAGGATAGATGTTAATGATTTATAAATTTTTAAAAAATGCCAATAAAAAAATTTTTTTTGAAAAAAAGGTCTCTATAAGACATGAAAAATGACCTTAAAATGAAAAGTATTGCCGTTTAAATTTTCAACGACACATTTTACATTCGCTCTGTTTTAATAAAAAATTAGAAATAGTAACTTGTATTTCATAAATTTAATAAGAAGATAAAGAATTATTAAAAAAAATATGTATTTTATGAATAAAATAAATTGTAAAAATAATTAAGAACTTGTTAATCAGATATCAGAGTTGTATTAAATCAGCAAATATTTGTTTACTTTCTTAAAATCGAAAGAGCGTCTTTTGTCCAAAAGTAAAATTCTTATATCGTGAAAAACTCAGATAAATATCAAGACTTGTTATTGGAACTTGTTTAAAATAACAAAGTTCAATGCAAAAATTTACAGTGAAGAAGAATATTAACTCTCTAGCAAAATGTTCTGAAAATAAAATCAAACAGATCAATCAAACTTGATTTTAAAAAAGGACTAAAACGGAAAAAAAATCTAAAACAATAATAAAATAAATGTCCTGTAAAAGAAAAGATGACAAAAAGTGTAAAAAATGCATTAGCATTAACGTCCTATCCCTGATTATAACAATCATATATACAAACAATATTAGAAGTGTAGCAGCGAAGATTAGAAGGAATCAGTTCTTAAAAGAATTAAATTTGCTTTACGATAATTAATTATACGATATTTAATTACGATATTACAATTGCATTATTCTTTTAATTTTTTAATACAAATCATAATAAGTAAATCTAAATAAATATCAAGCATTTAACAATCTGGAGTTATAGTTATTATTAGAGCCCGGATTTTTATGACCTAAAAAATCTCAACTAATGCCCTTAAAAAGTGCAAAAAATGCCCTTAAAAAGCCAAAAATTGCGCAAAAAATGCCTTAAATAAAGTAAAAATATTGAATTAAAAAAATGTTTTGCTCTTTAAAATTATTATGAGTCATTTAAAAAATATAAAGCAATGCAATACTTGTTCTACGTTCATTAAAGTTTGAAAAATATGTTTTATATCCTAAAATAACAAAAAAAGGAAAATATATTGACACCAAAATATTTTTATTTTGTATAGAAACTTTAATGGATATAACAACTTCCATCTCATAATATTACTAAATATCAGAATTACATTGGATTATTAAATGTTTTTTGATAATTTGAAATGTAAACGAGCGTCTCTTGTCTGAAAGTAAATTTTCATTCCTGCAGAAGCTTCTTTCAACGTCTACTGATGTTATAGGTGCGTACTTGAAAAAGACGGTCTCACTTAATGACAATTCTTCTTCAATTTGAAAAGATTTTGCTTCACCTGTTAACATCCTAGAGATTTTCTTCATTGTTTGGAAGCCAGTGTAATAATAAAAATTACAAAAAATTAATACAAAATTTAAAAAATGCTTTAAAATGCAAAATACGCCCCAAAAATTAAAGAAAATGCCCTATAAATCTTAAAAAATGCTCTAAAGGACAAAAAATGTCCAAAAATGCAAATGTCATCAAAATCCGGGCCTTAGTTATTATAATTACTTTTAATTTAAACATAATTGCTTTTAACGCTAGAAAGACGGAAAATTAGTATATAGTACCTATATTGCCGAAAAGCAGTCAAAATGACTAGATTGTGAATGCGTCAATAAATATGTTTAAAATTAATTTTTAGCATTTTTTATATTATTTACAGTTATGTAACATTGTTTTTCGAATTGAAATTAAAAGCAGTCAATATGACATCCTTAGGCAATCTAGTGTTAAGGAATTAATATACCTAAAAAATGAGTTTTTTTTTTTCTTTTTGACTTTTTTAAGGCTGGAAAATTATTTTTCGTGTCAGCTAAATATATGTCCAAAATTAATTTTGAACCATGTCACATAAACATATATTAAAAATTTATAGAGATATTGACTTGCACTCATTTGAATTACTTTAAGTTCTTTGTTATGTCATTTTTAAAATTTTTTTGGAATAGTAAATCTGAAAAAAAATCTACACGAAATTCTTCGAAAATATTTTCTGCATTTTGTTAAATATTGTAGAAAAATATTCCTTATACTGTATTTGCTAAAATGTTTGCTGAATGCATACATTTTAGTAAATACAATGCTTTTATTAATTAAAATGAGTAAAATATCTTAACTAAAGAAATGAGAAGAAAGGACATAGATAATGCAGATTTTTTTATCAATTTTTGATCAATAAAAACCTTATTAATCAAAATTTTTCAATTATTTACTTTAGAAATTGTTTTACATCTTAGCATTTCATTAAAACCTTATTAAGCTTAAAAAGTATTACGCAATTATTACGGTTTTAAAACTGCATCTTTTAGTGGTCAAGTTTGAGACACTTCTTTCTGTCTCTTTTCAGTTAGTTATAGTACTTTTTTTTATTTGAATTAATGAACTATTTGAGTTTTAAAAAAAGGAAAAGCATTTTTGGACGTTTCGATATCGCAAAATAATAATTTTTTTTGGCAACAAAAAAAATTTTTGAATTTCAAAATTTTTAAACTTTTTTAAACAATTTAAAGAGGAGAAAAATAATGGAATAGTTATGGAGCGAAAAAAAATTTGCTGTTAATCCCTCCACTTATCAATTATTATTATTACTTTTTGCAATATAAAGTTATAGAGTAAAATTCGAGTATTATTAATAATACTATAATGACCAAACTGCTTATTAAATGCTTAATAATAAACAAAAAAATCTTATAATTAATACTCCAATTTAAAGTTGGAGTTATTTTTTAAAAGTTTGTGATTTCGAGTTCAGAGTCATAATATTAATTCAAAAAGCAATAAAAATTTAAGAAAATATTCATAAATTATATTAATTATTAAATTAATTAATTATTAAATAATTCCTAAAATTTATTACTCATTTCTTCAATTATTATAATCATTAAGAAGGACCTGAATAAAAAGAAATTTTAAAAAAACTTCATTAAATGAGGGGTTTTTTAAAATTAATTTTTCTCCATCAACATTTAATATATTTTGTATTATTTTCTATCTTCATTTTTCTAACTCACTCCAATCAATAAACATCAATCAAAACACCCTAATATCAAACGCCAAAATAATCTTAATCTTTATTTCCTTTCCCTTCTGAAGTACATCATCTTAGTCTATTTCATTTTTTAAAACCTATAAACTCCAAACTTTAACCAAAGATTTGAAGAGGAAGCGTCATTTTTTTCAACCGACAGGGTTCGTGGAAAGGACGACCTCAATCAGTCGTTCACCCCTCAACCCCCAAGCCTTTGAACCCTCTAAAAACCCGGGCTCTATTGTTGATTATTCTCCAGGATGCGGATGTTAAAGAAGAGGAGAGAGAGAAAGAAGGATGGCGTCATATTATTCAACATGGATGTTGAGCCTTGCTTCCCCCCCTTTTTTTTTAATTTTTATAGTTCGATTTTTAAAAAAGGGTGAACAACCCTTTACTGTGGGAAGCTCTACGATGAGATTTTTTTCTCTCTCTGTGTTTTTTTGTTGTTGAGAGTACAGTTTATTTGAAGAAAATTTGAATTCTTGGGGAAGAAAATTTGAAGACTGTTGATCAAGGTTGGCATGATTTAAATCATGATTTAAAAGATCATAAGTAATCGTATTTATGAATAATATTTATTAAATAGTGATTAATCGTAAATCATCATTAATCACAATTTAAATGCCAAAGAAAATTTTAAGACTGATGCTCAGTGCAGGCATGAATTAAATTATGATTTAAAAAATCATAAGTAATCACAATCAGGAATAATATTCAATTAAACTGTGATTAATCGTAAATCATGATTTATCACAATTTAAATGCCGAAGAAAATTTGAAGACTGTTGCTCAGTGTTGGCATCATTTTAATCATGATTTAAAAATCATAATTAACCGCTATCTTGAATAATATTTTATTAAATTGTAATTAATCATAAATCATGATTAATCAATATTTAAATCACTTAACTTTTTTAAAAAGAAATTAATGATTTAAATCAGTTGATATTTTTAAAGAATGAATAATTCAAAAATATGTTTTATACAACATAATTTATGAATGTTTTCTTAAAATTTTTTTTTTCAAAATCTGATGGTATTGATAATGAAGGTTTAATGTAGAGAAATAATTGTCATCTTAATTATTATTTAAAGTTCAAAATAGACAAGTAGGTAACTAAATTTCTATTAGATCATGATTTTCTATTGGCTATTAATTTTCTATTAGATTATAATTATTCTATTTTTTCTATTTGATATAAATTTCTATTGGTTATAATTTTCTGTTCTATTGGCGAATTATATGTCAAATAATTCGCTGTTTAATGAACTTGTTTCAATTATATCCAGTTGAATTTCAACAAAAGCAAGGTTTAAAATAATCACAAATGGTTAACATTTTATTAAAAACCTATACGCGTTTTTTGTTACAATAATACACCTTCATCAGTAGGATAAAATACAGGAATCGTAAAAAAAGAGATGATTAAAATCAGACAGAGGTTAAGTCAAAGGAATGAGATAAATATACAGTTAAAGGAGTCGAAAAGTAATGATTTCCAAATGCTAGACAAATATACACCAATAAGGTCATTAACAATAGAGTTATTGTTTT